AATTAAAGTCTCCTGAAATAGTGTTTCCTAGGTAAGTAAACTCTCTAATTTTGAAAGGCTTTTATATGTGACTTTAATTGACTCTTATATAGGTAACCCTTCCTTTGCAGAAAGTGCTTCTCAAAGTATTTTCATTAGAGAATTTTTTAATCCGGAACTCTCTTCCCAAAGATATTCTAATAGCTAATCTTTTTTTTTCCTTTGAGTCTGTTCAAACATTGCCTTTTCAAAAAGGACTCACCTCTTGGGGAACCAGCAGTTAGCGTAATGGCTATGTCGCTGGACTCCCACGTAGTCGACCGTGGTTCGCGTCTCGGACCCGGTGGCTTAAAACTCACGCCGGGCGCGTGTGCGTGCGTGCCCAAGATCCTGAGAGGAGAATGGAGGAGAAGGGATTGCGGCGTGGCCATCCCCCCTGGGGGGTGATTTCTCGCTTTCTGTCTCTATGTCTCTCTCTGTCTGTCTGGCGAGCACACGCGCCCTATGGCAAAAATCTCTCTCTAAAAAAAAAAAAAAAAAAAAAAGGACTCACCTCTTCAATGCTCCCAAAAAAGAATACTTGTTTACACTAGTATTCTTTTTTTAATAGCACTTAATTAGTAATTTACATTGTCATCATATTTTTTTTTTAATTTTTTAAACCTCTCCTAAAGCATGTGAGCTCTCTAAGATAAGAGGTCTTTGTATTTGTTCACCCATGCCTCCCAGCATCTAGAACACTGTCTGATCTACTGTAGGTGCTCAATATCAGTTGAATGAGTGAACTGTAGGAGTTAATTTTTTCTAGAGCTGGAGTATCCTCAAAATTTTCCATTGCTACCAGCAATTCATAGTAAGTGCAAGGTTAGGCAGGGCTTCCAGTCCCCAGCCCATATTCCAGTGGGAAGGTTCCAGAATCTCTCATCACCTGAAGCTCCCTGACTTGTCATTTCAGACAACCTAAGAAACAACTACTCCTGTTTAACCTTGGGATATTTCACTTCCCTCCATATGCAGCTTCATGCTCCCATAAGGTGAGCCTGAGTTCTGGAGATTCATGTCTATTTTAGAGCAATCTAGTTTCGTTTTGAATTTGGAAAATAAAATAAAATGTTCAGTGCTTTTGTGCTATTTCTCATGTGGCGTGAGGCTGTAGATATTATATAATATGATTTTGCTATTTTTTTTCTTTTTTCTTTTTTTTTTTTTTGAGAGGTTTTTGCTATAGGGCGCATGCGCTAGCCTAGAGAGAAACAGAGAGACTGCTGGCTAGAAATGACCTCCCAGGGGGGATGGTCATGCCGCAATCCCTTCTCCTCCATTCTCCTCGATTTTGCTTTGTTTTATAGTTGATTAATTATTGGGTTGTCAGAAAAGTCATGATGTATTTTTTCTATGTTTTTCTACGTAAAAATGTGTTATGACTTTTCCAGTGACCTAGGATTTTGGAGACCTCATGGAAAAACAAGTTAAGCATACAACATTAAAATGAAGGAGAATGAGAAAAAGAGTCTCCAGTTGAGAAAAGAATCACTCTATGTTGATTTCAAAGAAAGTAAACTAAATTTGACTGTTCTCCCCAGAAAACACTCACCTCATTACCAAGGTTATTGAATTAACATAATCTTCAAGGTATAGAAAAGAAAAATTTTTATAATCACAGTTTTAAAAATCTGGTCTGCCTTTCTTAATTATTTCCCTTTAATTAAACCATTGTTTTTTGCTGCATAAGAAAAGGTGCATTATCATTGAATAGTGTGTGTGTGTGTGTGTGTATAAAAGAGGAAAGTCATTGTAGTAAAACACAAATTTCTGGTAGAGAAAAATAGTGACTGAAAGGATAGAGGAAGTAACACCAGCATTATGGTAGTTTTAGGTTCTAAAAAGTATACCTTTACAGGTTGGGCAATTACCACCTTAGCTTTTCATATGAACTTTTTCCATGAAAGAGAGACCCTTTATTAACATAGCCAACTTTTTTTTGGGGGGGGAGAGGTTTTTGCTATAGGGTGCGTGCGCTCGCCAGACAGACAGAGAGAGACAGAGAGATAGAAAGCGAGAAATCACCCTCCAGGGGGGATGGCCACGCAGCAATCCCTTCTCCTCCATTCTCCTCTCAGGATCTTGGGCACGCATGCACATGCGCCCGGCGTGAGTTTAAGTCACCAGGTCTGGGACTCGAACCGCAGTCGACTACATGGGAGTCCAGCGACATAGCCATTACGCTAACTGCTGGTCCCATAGCCAACTTTTCTTTCAAATATTGTTGAATAACAGGAAAGATGTTCTGCTAGAAACAGGTCTGCCAGCCACCTCCTCTAACCTTGTAACATATTCCGTATCGCAGGAAGCACTTGATTAGTGACCCCAGTTTCATCTTGAACTTTGAGCGGGGTCAACTTTGATGGAAGGGCTCAGAATCCCAGTACCCTTATTCATGTGTTGACCCTAGTGAAGAGAGCCTTGAAAGAGGCTGAGATTTCAGGACCTGGTCACTTCCACCAGAAGTGGATTGTCTAGAAGGGGCAGGTTGCTCCAGAGCTCCTGAAGCTGGCTGTCCCTCCCCAGTGCTTTGCTGCTTGGTGCTCCCCTTCATTGGTGACGATCCTCTGCTCTTCTGCTGTTGACTCTGAGTCCTTTCTTGCAGAGAGAGTTTTTTAGAACCAAAAGAATCATTTTAGCTTTTTCTTTCCCCTCTCAGGTCTGCGTAGATTAAGTGATAGATAAACAGAATTACTACTTTTTCCACCTGGGACAATTCAAACCATCATGGACTTGGTCTTCCAGAAAAACTCAGAATATCTATTGTTTATCTCTACATCCACTTCACGCACTTAGCAGCCCAAAAAGTCTCCCCTGAAATATTAATAGAGCTTCCAGAAGACAGATTTTTTTCTGGTTCCAGTCACCCCAGATCTTCTCTTATCTTTCAGCCCACATCTTCCTGTAAACATGATGCCCGGGTGCAAAAGATGTTCAGCAAGTATAAGGCCCAGGTGACATCATTATCAGACAGCGAGTGCCGAAAATATGTTAAGTGGGTAGTTTCATCACAAAGGCTGGGGACACAGGTGGATGAGGGGAGTCCGGTGAGTCATGTCTGACAGGGAAGGAATGAAGACAGAGCAGCCCCTAAAGTGTCCATTTCCTTGAGGCAGAGTTTGTTCCCTGAATAAAAAGCCAGTTGGCTGAGAACACTACACCAGATCTGAGGACCATACGGCCTGCTCTTCCCTGAACACCAGGTGAGTCTCTCCACTTGAACTCGTTACCATTCACTCTTGATATTCTTAGTGTGTGTGTGTGGGTGTGTGTGTGTGTATGTGTGTTTTCACCCATTATTGAAATTCAGTCTTAGCCATGCTGGAAGTTCATCTGAATATAGCCTTTAGGATTATCTTCATTATAAAAGTAATCATTTAGCTTGTGAGACTTTCCATGTAATCAGTTCTGCCCCACTCATTCTGGCTGTGTAGAGGGAAGGGAATTGGCTTGTACAAAGACCCAGAGTAACAGCAGAATAGGAATGAGAACCCAGTTTCATAGCACTTCTACTGGCATAATTCTTTCTTATTCATCATTTAGTACAGAGAATTTTATTCTTTCAATAGATATTTTGGTGAGACTTCACTATATATGGTACTCTGACTACTAAATAAGCAACAGGGGATTCACTCCATGAAATTACAATCTATCCAGGAGAATAAGAGCTGTAATAGAATGTACTAAGTGATCAGTGCCAGGTGATGCTAAGTGTTGTAGCAGTGTGCAGAGACAGAGCTTTCTGGGAGGCTTGCTTTGGAAAGTGCCCAAAGTTCTACAGGAGGTAGTCTGTGTGATTGGGTACTTCTTGAACAAGCAGAAATGAGAAAGTATTTAAGATAGAAGTGCATGTGAGCAGGGCAGAGATCAGATTGTGTGAGGTTCTAGAGAAGTCAGAATTATCCTATTGGTGAAAAACCATTCTATCGATAAGAAATGAGTGGATGGCTGAAGTTATGGTTCCTTTTCCAAGTAGTGTCATATTTCCATATAATTCAATGTTGTGAGTACCACATGCCTGCTGGCAGCCTGCTGTCATGCATTTAGCTAGTTGTGTTTTAAAATGTGCTGGAAAAAAGAGGACACCATGAAAGGCCCCACTTGAACGGAGCAGAACAAATCACTTTCAGTTCTTCCTTTTTAAAGTCTCAGAAATATTCAGTCTTCTTTGTGGCAAACAGGGAAAAAGATTAATATTTACTTCATAAGGGAGTTGAACCAGAATTGATTGTGGCTTCTTTAGTTATTCTCTATGTAAATCACCTGTTCTGTCTCTAGGACCAGCCACCATTGAAACATGAATTCCCAGCAGCAGAAGCAGCCCTGCACCCTTCCCCCTCAGCTTCAGCAGCAGCAAGTTAAACAGCCCTGCCAATCTCCACCCCAGGAACCATGTGTCCCTCAAACCCAGGATCCCTGCCACCCCAAGGTTCCTGAGCCCTGCCACCCCAAGGTGCCAGAGCCCTGCCACCCCAAGGTTCCTGAGCCCTGCCACCCCAAGGTGCCAGAGCCCTGCCAAACCAAGGTGCTGGAGCCCTGCCACCCCAAGGTTCCTGAGCCCTGCCACCCCAAGGTTCCTGAGCCCTGCCACCCCAAGATTCCGGAGCCCTGCCACCCCAAGGTTCCGGATCCCTGCCACCCCAAGGTGCCTGAGCCCTGCCCCTCAACGGTCACTCCAGCACCTACTCAGCAGAAGACCAAGCAAAAGTAATGGATCCACAGCCACACCCTTGAAGAGCCAACTACAGATGTCAAGCTCCTAATCCATTGTACTACAAAGTCCCATTTACCTTATAATTATAGCATGCTGTCACCTTGAGTCATAGTCCCTCCCTCATTTGCATTCTAAAAACATGTGCTACGAAGCTTTTCTTCCTACACACTTTGGGCCTCTTAGCCTCTGAATTCGGCTGAAGGTCTTAGTGTATAAACCAGCTTCCTGCTGTTCAAGATTCGGCTGAAGAGGGACTAAGGATGAAAAGAAGTGAATCAACTCTGTTCTGCCCCCATTAAACTTATTTTCAATTCTACTCCTGTTTGTACACTGTCTCAACTCTTTCACTGCTTTCCCTCATGAAGAGAGAGCTATACACAGAGATGGGTTCAAAGAAGGGCTTTGTTCAGAGGGTACCTTGCCGGAACCAGCTCGGCATGAACACGTTTTTTCTGAGTAGGGAAGGCTGTGAATTAGAAATAGAGGCAATAACAAACACACAAAGACATAGAAGTATAGAAAAGCGAGGATTGGCACCAATCCTTGTGTGTCTTTGTGTGTTTGTTATGTGTGTGTTCATGCTGAGCTGGTCCCAGCAAAGTGGCGACTGAACGTGTGGCCTGAGTACCAGAAAAGAGTCAGGCAAGTGGAAACTCCTTGCAGCCGGCCAGATATTATTGAGTAAGGTAAGGATCCTACATAATAAAATAAGAGTAAAAGAGATACCAGAGAGAAAGAGATACCAGAGTAAAAGAGATACCAGAGTAGAAGAAAGAGATATCAGAGAGAAAGAGATACTAGAGTAAAAGAGATACCAAAGAGAAAAGAGATACTAGAGTGAAAGAGATACCAGAGTAGAAGAGATACTAGAGTAAAAGAGATACCAGAGTAGAAGAAAGAGATACCAGAGTAAGGAGATATCAAAGTAAACTAAGGACATAATAGAAAGAGAAGGAGTGGATTCTATTATTGCTGGGTGTAAAACATGGGGATACAATTGCCTAAAGAAAGAGAAATGTATGTTCAAATGTTGTCTTATATGTTAAAAGCTAGGGGCGATAATGGGACCAGCAGTTAGCATAATGGCTCTGTCACTGAACTCCCATGTAGTCAACCGCAGTTTGAGTCCTGGACCCAGTGGCTTAACCTCACACCGGGCACGTGTGCATATGGGTCCAAGATCCCAACAGGAGAATGGAGGAGAAGGGATTGCGGCGTGGCCATCCCCTCTGGGGGATGATTTCTTGCTCTCTGGCTCTCTCTGGCTTTCTAGTGAGCGCATGCACCCTATAGCAAAAACCTCTCCAAAAAAAAAAAAGCTAGGGGCAATAGAGTTAGTGTCAAGCAGCTACATCAGTTCCTGATTTTTGTGCAGGAAACATGCCCTTGGTTCCCAGAGCAGTTTATGAGAAGACTTGGGACAAGGTGAGAGAACAGATCAGGAAACATTATACAACAAAGGGTCCTAGCAAGGTTCCTATCTTTGCTTTCTCCCTGTGGAATTTAATTAAGGAGTGCTTGAGACATACAAAGCCAATTGTATTTGGATGTAAGCCATCTGAAGAGGTGAAAATGACTGGTGCCAATCATTTCTCTGATCTTTTTAGGGGGGGACAAGCTGATAAACACATGTCACTTCCTTCAGCCCATAATGGGCAGTATGGGGTATTGGGTATCAACAACAACAAAAATATAACCATTAACAACAGGCAGATACTGCCTTCATATGTAAATGCTTCTCAATAGCCCTGCTAGAGTAGTTTACAAAAGCCCATTTCTGCTTGTGTCTACAGGTCACATGTTCTCATCACATATTTTCAGATTGGCTGCTCTCCACAGTACCTTATCCTGCTACTGGGTGGGTGGGAGGTTTCCTCTCCTGAGCATTCCTGGGTTGCCACAGGGAGGTTGTGCAACACCACCCAGAGGCTCTTGCTTTCAGCATCCAGGCCCCAGCAGGGTTCTGGTCTTGCACCCAGTGAGTCATATTGAATTTAGTACTTCCCTGCTGACTCTGGCTATCTAACCCTACCCCCAAAAGTGATTTCTAGATTGCTGACTTACTCAGCTGATTCCTGTGTTTTCAAGGAAAGTTGTTCCTATCTATATGAATTTCTTCCTCCTCATTCATTTCTTTCAGATATGTGCAAATGAGATTCTCAAACATGCCCAAAGACTCGTCACCTCTACTCTTGTTATCTTTTTTCTTTTTTGAGAGAGAGTTTTCCTATAGGGTGTGTGCACTCACTAGAAAGACAGAGACACGGTGAGCGAGAAGTTACCCCCGGGGGAATGGCCACACCACAATCCCTACCTTTCCATTCTCCTCTCAGGATTTTGGGAACATACACAAATGTGCCTAGCATGAGTTTTAAGCTGCCAGGTCCAAGACTCGAACCCAGGTTGACGACATGAGAGTCCAGCCACATAACCATTATGCCACATAATTTTGTTATCTTAATCAATACTTTTCCATTCTCCTAGTGTTTATTCTGTGACAGAAAGTAGATGAGGCGAATTCCTGGTGTTTGCCAGGAGCCTTTACAGTCTCCTTGTAGGATATGCAATCCTACCTTACCCCTCATTCAAGCACATATATACACCCACACACTCTGGATCTGTAATCTTCACAGAGTAATGCATAAAAGGTGATCCACAAGATTCCCAGGTTAGAGACTTTATTTCGTACATAGCATGGTGGGAACCACAGGAAACAGAGACTATAAATATAAAGTCTATCTACCATCTCTGTTGTGTTTGTTTTGTTATGTATCAAAAATGGGATTGTTGATAATTTTTAAATGAATGACTTTTTTGCCAATATATAAAATGAAAGTGCTTTTAAAAATGTTTTAATAGGCACACATTAATAGTACATATGTATGGGGTAGAATGTATTTTTTTCAGTTCATGAATACAATATGTAATCATCAAATGTGTAACATACTCATCATCTCAAACATTTATCATTATTTTGTGTTGGAAACATTCAAAAGTCTCTCTTTTAGCTATTCTGAAATATATAATAAATTCTTGTCAACTATAGTTACCTTACTGTGTTATAGCACACTAGAACTTATTTTTTTCATCTAACTATAATTTTATATCCATTAACCAACATTTTTCTATCTCTGCATCCTCCTACACTTCCCAGTCTCAATAAATCACTATTCCACTCTCTTCTGTGAAGAAGAAAATATTTGCAAATTATACACCTGACAAGGGATTAACATTCAAGGAACTCAAATAACTTAGCAGCAAAATAGTAATAACAATCCAAGTAAAAATGGACAAATTCCACACAAAAGCCCAGGTATGTAGCATGCAAATGATCTGAATAGCCATTTCACAAATGACATTTTAAAATGACACCAATAAACATAAACCTAAAAAATGCTCAGCATCACTAACCATCAGGAAATCACAATAACTTCAATGGAATAACATCTCATTCTAGTTAGAATGGTTACTATCAAAAAGACAAAAACACGCTAGCGAGGATGTGGAAAAGGGGAACTTTTTTTTTTTTTTGAACAGCTAATGAGGGACCTCATTCAGAAAAACACTTGCTCGTAATGTTTACTGCAGTATTAATTGGAACTCTTTCATTCTGTTGGTGGGAAGTCGATTAGCACAACCATTAGGGAAAATAATATGGATGTTCTTCCATAAACGAATAATAGAACTGTTTTATGATCCATAATTCCACCAGTAGGCATATATCCAAATGAAAGGAAAGCAGTACGTCAGGGAGAGATCTGCATTCCCATGTTTATTGAAGCACTATTCATGACCGCCAAGATACGGACTCAACCTCAGTATTCATCAAAAGTTGAATGGATAAAGTGAATGTGATATTATATTCAGTGGCATTCTATTTAGCCATTAAAAACACTGAAATCTTGTCATTTGACATTACATGGACGAGTCTAGAGGACATTATTAAGTGAAGTAACTCAGGTCTCCTGTCTCTAGAGTACAAAAATGTTTAGAGTGAAATGAAACAAGGTAGAATTATTAACAGCACATTCATGAGTGTGCGTGTGTGCGTGTACACGCGTGTGTAGGTGTGTGTTTTGTGTGTGTATTTTTTTTAATGTTACTGGGAGACAAAGTAAGTTGCCCTGCAGCAGTACAAAAAGAAGTGTACCTTTCCTTAGGTTGGAAATTAATAAAAACTATTACTATTTGTCATAGTTCCAGCAGTTCTGATTCTATTTATTATAACTTTTGACCTGATTTCATTCTTCAAAATTATGAAGTCTGGAAGTCAACAGGTGGCATGTTGATTAAAGTGCTGGACTCCCACATGGCCAACTGTAGTTTGAGTCCCAAACCTGGTGGCTTGCTTTCTCATTTTCTCTTTCTCTCTCTCTGTCCAGTTAAATTTTTAAAATAATAATAAGTAAAGTAAAATAAAATAACTTCAGAAAAAAATGCTTTAATTAAAAAACTTGTCTTCTAATCCATGAATACAAAATGTTTTTCCATTTATTTATCTCTTCTTTAATTTCTTTAAATGATATTTTGTAGTTTTCAGCATGCAAGTGTTGCATTTTTTCTTGTTAATTTTATGTATATTTTATTCTTTTAATGCTATTATAAAAGAATTTTTTTATAAGAAAGATTTTTTGCTATAGGGCACATGAGCTCACCAGAAAGACAGAGAGACCCAAAGTAAGAATTTACTTCCCAGGGAGGATGGTCATGCCACAATCCCTTCTCCAGTCTCCTCTTGGGATTTTGGGCACACATACACATGCACCCGGCATGAGTTTTTAAGCCATCAGATCTGGGACTTGAACCACAGTTGACATGAGAGTCCAGGAATGTAACCATTATGCCATCTGCTAGTCTCCCAAAAGACATCATTTTATTTTCACTTTCAAATTATTCATTAATACAATTTATTTTTGCATATTAACCTTGTACTTGTAATCTTGCTAAACTTTTAAGTCCTGATAGTGTGCATGCGTGTGTGCATGTGTTCCTTAAAA